TGCAAACTCAGAAAACAATGATAAATAAAATAAAAATAATAATGGATGCGTGGGCAAATGACGCTTTAACTGCGATTAGGTTGGAAGAACCAGAGATCAGGATAGCATGAAAAGTAATAAAGTATTTTGTATAATATACTAAGACAGCATGGTATTGGACAATTTTTAAGTACTGCAATGTAATTTTGTTGTAATAAATATTGGGGTATTTATAAAACAGAAAAGTAGGTTCAACATAAATTTCTCACAAACGTGTCTAGGAGTGATTTAAACAGCAAGGATGAAAATGATTATGACTGTTTCAGAGAACACACAAAGCACTCATGCAAAAGCAGCGGAGGTAAACTTTAAACTGATTTTTAAACATACTAGATAATCTTGAAAAGGAATAATAATGTTAAATACTTAATAAAGATAATAAAATTAAATAATAAAGATGTTTCAGTGAGACAAACTCCCTGTGCTATAATGTCCGTACTGAACTGAAGGTAAGAAAAAGCCTGCTCTTTGGTATTAATATCCCATATTGGCCAGCCCTATAATATACTTCAGCCATTTTTTTGCACTGTGATGTCATTCAGTGCCGGTACCAGTTATTATGCCAGTGGAAAATCACCTTGAAGCACCATACTTCAGGTACTTTCTTGAAGCAGCTGATATTAAGCAGAATTCTGTCTCTCCTCTGTCTGGCTCAGTTATAAATTTTCCCACCGTCAGCTGACAGTAGAGGAGGTAAATGAAAAATTCCCACAATTCCTTAGAGCAATGCCACACAGCCATCCTGCACAGGCCGACATGAAGAACTGACTCAGTGATGGACTTTGGCTTTGCCCTTGACCCCAGTTTACTCCTTGCTTTTAGCAAGCCAGCCCACTCTCTTTTTCTATATAATTAGCATGCCTGGGGGGGGGGCAGCCAGGTGACCTCAGACCCCCCAGGGGTGTTTTTTCCACCTACTTGGGAGTTTTTGGTTCCTCTCCTCCATCCTCCGCTTTCTTTCATTTCTTTGTCTTCCCTTTTCCCTGTTTTTAAATTATTCTGCATAAATGATGCAGGAATGTATCACACCACACCCATGTAAAGCACCAACTCTGTTGCGATAGGCACTATATAAAAATTTACTAAATTGAACTTAATCATCATGAGGGTCCCCCCCCTACAATTAGGGCAAGGCTCCCACTTAGATTGCTCTTCAAATGGCCACAAAAGGCCCAGGATGCTGCTGCTGCAGTACCGGTTCAGAAAAGTTCTGAATAAAAAACTTCTCCAGGAGTGAACAGGCTAATTACCGGTCTTCATTGGGCTGATACTGGACTCAGGTGTTTAAATAACTTCCAGGGTTGTTGCAGTGATGTGCATAACACCTCCATCAGCGTGTCAGGGCTCACCCAAACCTCCTCGGTGATCATGACCCCCTGGCTGGGCTCCATCTCTCCTAGTGTGTCTCAGACCTCTGTAAGACAACATTCTGAAAGGGAGGCCTGTCTGCCAACTTCAGGAAAGGCATCAGATTCAGGAACTCAGTTTCAGTTGTAGAAACTCATGAGTGACACGATGCAATCCTTATTTTGCATGTCAGGGACAGGTGTGTGTGTGTGCGGCGGGGGGGATGGGGGGGGGAGTGCATATGTCAAATTCCTCATTTGGGCCATCTGTATATGAAAACACCAGCTAACCCTAAAAAGGGAATTTAACGGTCACTTTTAAGCATGTAGATGTCTGAGACACAAGTGACCTTTTCCCTCAGAAACCAGTAGTCTGGCTCCAAACAGCGGTGAGCCAAGTGTTCTGGTGTTTGTCCCAGGCTGCTCAGAGATCTCCCCAAGGGGAGGGGAGGGCATGTTGTGCCAGTATGGGCCTAGTGGTCAGTATAGTGCAGCTAGATCAGGGGATGACAGGAGGCAGATCCCCCCCCCCCCCCCCCGACACACAGGTCTAATGAGGAAAACACTAAACACATAGCTAGCAAGCTGAACACATGGAGAGCTGCCAGTAACAGTAACGCTGAAATGCCTGTTGCAAGAGACATTTCAGAAATAAGAGTCATTTGAGGCTCAGGAAGTCAAACAGACCAACAACTTGCTGCCTGGATACCAGGAAAATAGCTTGGGCAAAGCCACAACTTCCCTTTCGGACACCTGATGCGGCACTGTTCATACCAGTCAGAAGGCCAAAGGTCAACATAGGCCAAAGCTCATGCCATCATCTCTCCTGGCACAAGGGACCTGAGCACTGGTAACATGAGACACTGCCACTTATAATTCATTACTAAAACAAGCGAGAAGAAGATTTTCCATGAAATATAAAAAAGAAAACTTTTTTTGGTACTCAAGAAAAATTTACAAACCACATTTCATGAATTCCAGTTATAGAAGAACACAACAGTTGAAAATTTATTATAAACAGTCTCCAATGATGGTCATGTGACCAGCAGACAGCTTGCCCTAACCCTTTCTAAATATATTTCCGCTTTTGCATATTATCCTTATACAACAGCTGCAGAGTTCTGCTGAAACAGGCTCACGGGCTGGAATGTGTACAGACAGGCTCCTGCTCCTCCTCTGATTCATTCTTTTCCATAAACACACGGCTCAGTCCGCAGAGAAGTCAGCCCAGGCTCTCAGGTTTTACATTTGTCTATTTGGCATCCACTTCTGTCCAAAGAGACATACAACAGATGCAAATAGAACATTAAATATACAGGGGTCAAGGACACAACAAGGCAAAAGGGCAACTAGGGTGAACTTTCAAGAAATGACAAGTACCTATTTGTTTACTGCAACTTGGCATCGGCACAAGAGCAACACAATACACAACAAGGATACTGCAGGAACCTAACCTATGGTCTGTTCTATTTTAAGACCACTTTATGTTATTTTTCTTGGTGACAGAGGCCACGATTACCCAGATGTCTCTGTGGCAGTGATGTGTAGTGATGTGTAGTACCAGAGCACATTATGGCTACTGGGGGGACATTTATGTGCAACCCAGAGAAAAGACAGACTACGAGTGCATGTATGCAGTACAGTCTTTTCACAGTGGCCTAATCTCTATCGTGGAGCAATAAACAAAACAGAAACCTCTCACATCCCGCCTCAGCACTGGACTTGTCATTCATGAGTCACTATCATCACTTCCGTCTTTCGCCGATACTTCCTTCTCAGTAAAACGAACCACCCAAGGGTAGTGCTGCAAATAGCTAGATATATTTTAAGCAGAGCTCCTGTAGCCTTCCACAAACCCACACCATCTGAGGAACATGCCTATCAAAAATTCAACTCTCTCTGGATGACACAGTAGTAACAACCAATTAATGTGTCCATCGCCTGGATTTTACCGGTGCCTTTTATCCACCAGAACTGACTGTTCCTGCTGTCCCAACTTGTTTGGAACAAGTCAAATAAAGCTCCCTGTTCAAGGGTACAACAGCGGATACCCCACCCTCGAAACTGACCCGTTACTTTTTACTCTCATGTTTCTCAAGCAACATCAGCACCATTACAGGATGTGACTCAGCCAAGCATGGGGCATAACCCCGTGGACAATGCCATTGTTCTCCTACATTCCTGGAGCAGCAGAGAGTATAGTTTAATTGTGGGGGAATCCGGAAAAAATTAAGTAGTATGTCACTCCCTCCTCCAGTCCCTCACTCTGCAGTGTGCGATTAGATTAGTGCTACCATAGCGACGAGCAAAAACAGGAACAGTATTTTTTATACATTTTTCAAGTCAGAAAGACATGCCCTGTTTCAAAACTTGCGTTTTATGGGTGTTGAATCTGCTTAGAAACGTGGAGGATAAAGCCTATCAAAGTATAAAGTGTGCTATTAGACTGTTCTTATTTACTACATTAATCCCTAAAAGGTAAAAAATGCACAAATCACAAAGTAAAAATGACTTGATTACCCCCAAGGCTATTTTCGACATACATTGAATTTATTAAGTCGCTCTGACTAAGGGCATCTGCCAAACGCCGGAAATGTAAGTTCTCGTTTATCTTGGAGAGTAGTAAATGGCCAAAAGTCGTCAAAGTTTACTCTCATTTGGGTGTAAGATTCGGACAGCACTCATTAGCGAGACCCCTGAACAGTGGGCTTCTGCGTTTGTATTTTAACATTAAAACAGCCGGTGTCGCTAAACATTTCCCATCGAGAAGCGGTTTCCAGTTTCCCCAAGGCATGTGCAGAGCGAGGCCCCGTTCGAGTTACCTGGCGAAATACAATGCCAAGCCCGAGCAGCGGCCCACGCCCGTACGAGCATTCCCACAGCCAGAAGCTGGAAAGCCAGTCAGCACACCGCCAACCAGCGACAGCCACCGTGCCGCAGGGGAGGAAAGTTATCGCTCAGCCAGTCGATTAACTCCTTCTGCCATTCACCCTCGCTTAATGTACTTTCGTACTGCTCCTCCAAACGCGCACCCCTCCCTCCGCAACATTACAACCCCCCCCACCCCCAAATAAAAATAAAGTAGCAGCACAATGCAAATATGCAATATTTTCTACTCCATACAAACATTTACTGTCGCACAAAGAAAAAACATACATACACACGGATGTGACTTGATTTTAACAATTCGGATTTCGACATATACAGAAAACTATAAATACAAATATCCTCGTAAATAGAAAACTCTTGTCCCAAGCAAAAACAATTATTGTGAACGTGCGTTATTTCAACATAGTGAAATGTTTTATATCATGAAAATTCAAAGGTCCAATATGGACCTCCACATAACTAAAACGGGAAAATTCAAAAGTTTATTCCAACAGTATGTCTGTAATGACAACATCTGGATACTACGGACTAGCATTTCTGAAGAATTCATAACTATCAAAAGTTATAAAGTAAATTTTAGGGCGGAACGGTCACCCGAACAGATCACGAAGCCCTCCTGGGGGTTAGCGCCCCTTTAAAGTGCAGTTAAAAGCCTTCATTAACTTGTGTAACATTAGCAGCCCTGTATGTCGCAAGATGGCCAGCAAGCAAGCCACGAAAACTTACCAAGGGGGCACAACTCCGGTAAAAGCGAACTTTCGGTCTTTACCTTGGCACAAGAACTTGAGCCAGCAAATATCCGACAAGACAGACAGCTGCAAAGCCCCGGCGAAAACTTCAGTGGGTCTTTTCCCCCGCACTATTTCTGGGCAGTTCCACTTAACAGAAGAGTGACCGTGAGCAGCGGCGCGCCTCTCTGACGTCAGGCCCCCTCAGCCGGCTGCGCCCTGAGAGAGCGGCGGCGGTGACGCGCCCGGGAGGCGAAGCGGCTCTAGCTGTGACGGCGCGCCGGGCGCGCTCCTCGACTCAATAAACGTTAGATGTTAATTGAAAAATGTTAAATTCAATATCTTAGAGGGATGTGAAACACATGTAACATTTTTGTTTTAGGATTCTAACAAAAAATACATTTTCTACAATTAATGAAACAATTTATGAATGTTTAATGTATTCTTGGGTTAATGTATGGAATGGACCTGTAAAGATCAACTGCCATCTCATAAGTAGTTTCTGTACTGTTTCCGAGCTATTGTAATTACATAACATTTCTCATTTAAGATAATCTCATTTGCCTTTCAACATATACATTTCTAAGCTTGTTTCGTGACCGAATACAGTTAAGTACTGAGGAAAGAAAGGCTCTAAAATATGAAACGGATTTAAATGAATGAGGGATGAGCAAAATTGACAGGAGAGTAACGCATAGGAGCGACATATAGAGTATTCAAATAGACTGTAGCTTCGTGATATAAACGAGCCTGCGAGCTCTCCGACAGTGTTTGATAATGTTATTAAAGGTGTAATACCAGTACCGGCCTTAGCTTATGTGGCGCCCTAGGCATGCACCAGTGCCGGCGCCCCCGTCCGAGCCAACGTGAAATTGAGTGGAAATTTGGCGGCCCCTCAGAAGTCGGCGCACTAAGCGACCGCTTATGCCGCCCTTAGGATTGACCGGCCCTGTGTAATACCGATCTAGCATGCATACACGCTTCACGATTTATGTGGGGCAAATTTTGGGGTGGGGGATGGTGTTAAACCCGTACCTGGCTACATGCCTATTATAGGCATTTAAACACATTTACAAAGCCCGATCCACAAATTCTGTGTGCACTTCCTTCAGTCACACGTGTGGGAAGCTGTAACGTGCGATGAAACAGTTTGGCTGTAATAACATTCCCCCTCCTCCATCAGATTTCCTGTGAAAACAAAGCAGGGAATCCCTTGGAATGGTAAAAGGGATGTTGATGTAATGCGCTGACTCATTTTCAGGGAGGTTTCTCCTGGTCCTCCCAGGGATTTTCTCGTCCTTGCATGTGGAATAACCTCCCTACACACAGATACACGCTGCTTTACTTTCCAAACACTACTCTGTATACCTATGTTTTCCAGAAATATGCACACACTCTCTGAGACATTTATTATGGCGCTTTTTCACTGCCACCAAGAACCAAGCCGTAGCCGAGTCAAATCTTACTAGCAGGGCCAAGAGCATGAATAATCTGAACCGTTTGAATCACCACCATCTGCTTGGTCAAAATGCACGGAGACCACAAAAAAATGGAGATCTGCTTCAATATGTACTGATTATCTGAAGGGAAAATGGACATATTCTGTATATTATTTATTATTAGTAGTATCACACATTGTGATGTATTGATGCATTCCTGATAACTTGGAACCTGAAAATTTCCAACTTCCTACTTGAAAAAGTGCTATAGAACAGCTGAACAGGAGGGATGCATGCTGCAAATCCAGCTAGCGTTTGATTCTAGCATGACACGGCTGTTGTCGCAGACCTGCTATTGGAAATTAGCACATAATAAATCATGATGTACACCACGTAAACAGTAAATAAGAGCCTCTTCAATTTTACATTACTGTAAAATCCGCCAAACCTTTACCAAACCAACCCTTCTGTAGTGGAAAACCGAAACCAATTGAACCACGCTGTAAGGAGTCCCACACTGTAAGGAGTCTTTCTTCACAGTACAGCTCAGCTCCAGCCTGGTTCCTGTATGAAAGTGGACAGGTGCCATTCCACCCAACCTGCAAATCTGAAGTGATGGAGATGCAAGAAGCCAATGTCATTCCACAACACAGTCGTCACTCGGAACTGCAGTGAAAGAATCATTCTGATTCAATGGAGGTGAATTCTGACAAAAGGGCTGGTCCATAAATAACATACATGTGTATCTACAGGCATCAAGCCAATGACCACACTCAGTTTCATCATTTGTCCACAGATATTCAAAATATATTCTAATTGTTTGCTCCTAATAAACCACTCATACTATTTAAAAATCCTTCAGATAACTTGGACAGGCTGAGATGAAATATCTGAGTGACTATTTTGTTGGGTATACTGGGGAGCCAGTAAGGTCTTCTCTGTGTCTTGGACTAACAGAAATAAGAGCCCCTTCACTTTTACATCACTGTCGTGCTCCAAAGCCGGCAGACCTTTACCAAACCATCCCTCTGTTTCTTAGACTGACACAGATAAGATACACAAAGAGGCCATCAACCTCCATTCTTTTTGAAAGATTGCATATGCAACAGATTTGCATGGTTGCCATACAGGAAGTCTCACCATTAACACTTATTAACATCCTGTGACTTCTTCATCAAGCATTTACTTTCACCAGACACTTTATGATTCAGTATCTGCCCCATTTACAGAGATCCCAGCATTTTTAAGCACAACCGCTTCTTTCCCAAAATAAAGCAAACAAAAATCTCTTCCCGCTTAGCTACCACTGCAGGTAAGGAATCCCACGGTGTCATGGAAATGGCAGGATAAAAGACACAGCCTCCCAGAAGAATTTTCACCTTTGCACAGAAGAGTTTCTCAGATAAGAAAGCAGGTCAGACAAATCTATGTTACAACATGAGACTAAAATGAAGCAGAAATCAAATGAAATTATGTCTTAGCAGTCAGAGCTTGAGATTTTGGACATGAGCACCGTACGCTGGAGATGGTTGATGGTTTGAAAGCAATTATGTTTGCAGACTTGTACATTTTATGAGATAGCTATATAATGTCAGTTTTTTTGTCATAATGCTAAAATAGTCGAGGAAAAATTTTACAAGTCATTTTACATATTTCAGGGTCTGTTATGAAGTGCCCTTCTAGTGGATAGAATGCGGTGCAGTGCCC